TGGATGAGCGCGCCGCGCCGCCGCCCGATCTTCAAGACGATGCGCAGGAAGATGATAAGAAAGCTGTGAAGCGCCAGCCCTTCCGCTTCTTTGATCTGCCATCCGAGCTGCGGCTGCGCATATACGAAGAGCTCTTAGTCTTCCCCAAGACCATCGACCTCGACCCTACGAACTACCGCACCGTCGCCCCCGCCCTCCGCCTCTTCCTCGTCGACCACCGCATGCATGACGAAGCGTCGCGCGTCTTCTACGGTCGCAACACCTTCCGCGTGTTCCCCATTCACGGCCGCTACATAAACCGCAAACACCCGCTACTTGCATGGTTCCCCCGTAAATACCGCGCGCTCCTTACGCGCTTGGAGCTGCGACTGGGGCCGGGCTTCACGAAACCGCCGAAATGCTGGGTCGTGGATAGCCGGCTCGGCCTGGCAGCGGTGAAGAAGGTGTACAAACTGAAAATCTTTGTAGAGATTGACCCGGCATCGAACGAGGTGTTTGAGGGCTGGCGCGTGGGGAACAACTTCTATACCGAGTACTGCGTCGGGCTGCTGAGAGGCTTGCTCGCGCAGGTGCCGTCGATTGACGACGTGGAGTTTGACGCATACCCAAGCGTGTCCAAAGACAGCCCGCTGCTGAAGGGCCTGGTAGAAGAGACCAAGCTCAATCAGAAGCGCGTTGCCTGGGGCCCTGAGAGGGGCTGGGACAAGATTGTGGAGGTTGACTTGGCCAGCGTGTTGCAGAAGATGGGGCTTGGAGCACAATGAAATGAGTCTGCCCCGTAGCATCCGCCGCTCGTGCTGTCATGCTTTGCGCTGCACACTTCGCGTCAATTATGTATATTCATGTATCATTTCTTGGTACTTGATTCGCATGCCCGAAGTTGTTTGTCCAGTTTGCTCTTTCCCTTTCTAGCCGCTGTGACAATGTTGAGGAGTGGGGTGTGGCGCTCAGCCGCGCCAGGCAAGGTGGGCTCGGAGAACTCAGCCTCGCTATCAACCTGCCTACAACAACATCCGTCTCGCAACATCTCCGCAGCCCACAAACCTTCCCTGATCGCCCCAAACAGTCTCCCGCCTCTTGAAGCATGATCTAGGAAGAACCTGGTACAGATCTAGTTGCAGACTACGAACAAGTGTCACACACCGCAAACGAACCTTACACGACCATGATTGCGCCTGCGCATGCCGAAATCGGCGGCGACGCCTACGTATACGAAGTTCTCGCTACAGACCGACCTCGCATCCGCCTTATCACCGTATGGCAGGGTGTCAGACGCGCGTCATACCCTCACCGATCAACCGAGAGCGACGAAATACTGTGCACTATCAAGACTTTCGATGTAGACAAGGCTCCGAGCTACATTGCCTTATCTTACTCCTGGGGCAAGCCCATACTACTACACACTATTCGACTCAATGGAAGACGCTATATTATTCGAGAAAACCTTTTCGATTTCTTGAAAGCTTTCGGTGCTAGCGACATTGGTCAACAAAACCATTGTCTATGGATTGATCAGCTTTGTATCGACCAAAGTAACACTCGAGAGCGTGACCATCAAGTGAGCATGATGGCTGATATCTACCGCAACGGCCAATTCGTCATCAGTTGGCTTGACAGATCGTGTTCCGAAGCGTTTCGCTACGTGGCAACAGGACACCTCAGTCGCGATGAAAAGCGCGTGCGAACGATCACCGTACTCTCTAATCAGTACTTTTCTCGTCTTTGGGTCGTTCAAGAGTTCCTGTTAGCCAATGACGTACGATTCATGTGTGGCGATGCATGGATTCATTATACGCTACTACAACGTCATGCGCACGCCCTCAACTGGAGGTTTCCCTCCATTGAGTGTTACAATGCATATAATCTGATTGATTCGAGAAAGGAACTGTTGACAAGTAGGACCAATCTCGTCGATGTTCTCAACCATGGCTCGGTATTGAGATGCGAGGACAGCCGCGATCAAGTCTACGGGCTACTTGGCATTGTAGACTCTTCCCAACATGTTCCCGAAGTCAACTATCACGACTCGATTGAGCAAGTATATTTGGACACCATCCGAATCATCTTAACAGAGGGCCAAAACCAAACAGTAGACGTGATACTGGGTTGTGCTGAAAGATTGGGCGAAAATATGTGTCTTCCAGATAAACACCAGCGGGCGATACGTGAACTACTCGAAGACATCCGTATGCGCGATACAGATGAGGTCAACAACCTGTACAAGTCGCTGCCTTGTCCGATCATACATGCGATCGGCGTCGAGCCTCCAGAGTCACCAGTCGAGTGGTGGTATGAGCATCAGGGATTCTGTTACAGCTATCCAGTCCAGAGTGGTGCCGATCAGGCCTCGCAAAACTCGCCTTATTCCTGACGCCAACAACACGTCACCTCGTACAAGGGGAAACCTGAACAGATCTGCAGACTACATTAAGATGAGTACATGCAAAGTGGGTGTGTTAACATCGATGTAGACCCCAGAGTGTTAACTTTTTCAATAGGTTGACGTGACGGCGGGACTCAATAACAACTCTACGAAAGCGGCTCAGATGTTTGGTGCTCGCATTTGTTTGGTTTACCAACGCAGTCTCTTCACACGTAAAGCGGATGTTGTCACTATGGATTGCGCATTGAATTCTCATCACGTAGGCTCTTCCGACTTCACTGCGCGCACGGATGTTGTCGTGCCCGCTGCGGCCGCTTGCCGTATATATTGGGGCGCGTCCTGGACTTCGGCTTTCCTCCACTAGATCTCGCGCTTTTTCTGTCAGAGCTACTACTCCGTCACATCGCCAACAACTACCAGAAGTGTACGTAATCAAAGACATGAGCGCGGCAAACGACGATTCCGCTTCCGCAATACCTTGCCAAACCATGTCGATGCAGTCACACCCCATCAACCCAGAGGCACCGTCTCTCTTGACAACAATACCAGGCGAAGTGCGCAACGCTATCTTCGAGGCTCTATTTGATTTAGGCCACCCCATTACAATCTCCCGCGATCGGTATGCGTACGGCTACTCCTCATGTTACCAGTCGCGAGACGTACGTGGCATCGCGCTACTTCGAACATGCCGTCAAATCCACGAGGAAATTACCGGTATTCTCTACAGTCGGAATATCTTCTGTCTAAGTCTGGCGGACGACCCCTACAATGCTGAACCAATTCCATGGGCAATGAACTGGCTCGTCGATATTGGTAGACCGTCTTCCGCTGTTCGACATCTTCAAATCTACATCGACAACGTATTCCACGGTGCGGATGATGTCATCAATATATCGCCTATACTGCATCAAGCATGGAAGCCTGATCGTGCGGCTTTAAAGGTTGAACTTCTCCCTAGATGGTCTCTGGAATGGGACCGCCCGGGTCCGCCCTCCAGGCGACGACCTTAACAGAACAGCCGAGCTGAACGCGGTCTCATGTAACAGGCAGATGGCTACAATCATGGATGATCCGTCAGGAATGATTAAAAGGTTCTGTTCCGTGCCTTCATTACTACGAGAAGTCTGCCTGAACTTCCTGGACCACTATGCTCACCTTCATTACTATGGGTCAACTAACAGCGACGGCGGTGTACTATCTATGGACACGATTGACATAGTCGAAAACGGTGGGGAGAGTACATTTTCGAAAAGAATACCGATTGCGGACATCAAACGCATAATGTCGTGCTGCGAAATTCGAAACACCATCTTGACCACGGCATTGTGTCCAGACGAGGGCATTATCTTTGACCTCACAAACCGGACAACAAACGTGGATGTAGCCTACATCGCATCGGTCACTAATTATCTGACTGGCACACACGAGATCGGCTTCCGGGAAAGAGCATTCAGTGTCACATTGACAAGTATGAGTACCCTAGCAGCTTTTACCGCGGAAATAAAGATACTCCGCGGACTGCCTCTCGGGAGTCCTACGAATATAACCATTCGCTACTATCTGGAAAATGACGCCTCCTTGGACGATGTACAGTTCGATGCTCTCGCGCTACTGCATGCGACGGGCTCTCACTGCCTATTAAATTTTGTGCGCATCGAGGTCTACAGCGAATCTGGCACTGCCCCAGTCAAGAGCTACACTATCTCTCTTGAGGATATACGACGGAGCGTTCTTCTCTTCATGTACCAGATTTTGAAGAAAACTCCAGAGCATATGCTAGCGCAACTACCAAGGATCTGGATGAGTGGCAGGGGCGAGGCGCGGGAAGCCGAGTGGGACTTGAGCAAGTGTTCTATCGAGCCGATCGTGAATGAAAACGTGGGCATCAGCTCGACAATCATTCAAGCACGCTGCGAAGGAATTTTAGGGATGTTGGAAAGCATGTTCGATCTAGACAATCTTCCGCCTAACTCTATGGGGGATTTCGCAACAGGGTTGCTGTGGTACTAGGTAGGAGATAGGTCTTGCTGCATACAGCCTATCAAGTACGAACAATTCGAGAGTGGCTAGGATGATGTATGCCTCAAACTGGAAATTATCTTGTGAAATCTATAATGCGACATGCATTTGGTCGTCCTTTAATGCCAGATGCTGTAGATCAAGATAATAGCGTTATCGCACCTCATATAACTAAGTACAAATGGAAAATTGACTGGCAACGTATACCTCTAGGGTAACCTTTGCTATATTCAATACGTGTTTGGCCTCTCTCCCGGATTAGTCGACCTTCTTAATGGTCAAATACACCAAACACGTACATCGAGCATTGGTACAGTACAATCTAATCCAGCTTCGCAAACCTTTCTTCGCGTAAGTACAGGGCGTATCGTAAGAAGTTTTGCGGTTATCGCTATCCATGACGTAGCTCTTTCCATCTGGTGCAGCAAACGGCCGCAGTCTTGGCAGTCGCCCTCTCTCACTTCAGAATCCTCGACTCTACAAGCTTTTCCCACTACCAGCAATTACCCCCCTTTCTTCTCTCACACACCCGTTTTCAGATACTGATCGCCAGCGCTACGGCGACTGAGACCACCCTCGCAGCGTGACAGCGAGCGACATGAGTGCGTCACCCGGTACCACAGGCGGCGGCGCGACCTCCACTACCGCCAGTGACGCAGAGTCGAGCGACATGACCACCACCAAGATTGCGAACGTGCGAGCAGACATGGAAGCAGCGACTGCAACGGACAACCTTCCGCCGCCAGTCTCACACCCGACCGATCCGGACGTGCCGTCCTTAGTGACTCTACCTGGTGAGGTTCGCAACGCGATCTACGAGGCACTCTTCATTCGCGAAGATCCTATTCAGATTCATGCAAACAGTTTCGATCCTCTCGGTTACCACTCCGGCAGTGTCGTCCTCGGAACTGCACTCCTCCAGTCATGTCGCCAGATCCAATATGAGGCCACTGGTATCTTTTATGCACGAAACGTGTTTCAACTAGTGCTCCCTGTAAGTACGGACGACGAAGACGGCCTTGTTTGGGCTATGGACTGGCTTCGCATCATCGGCAAACAGCCGTCCTTTCTTTGCGTGATTCAGCTCGATATCAACAACTTGCTTGAAGCAGACGGAGACTTGGAGATCCTGCCAATACTGGCGTACACTTGGAAGCTGGAACACAAGGACATGGCTGTTTCCTTTGTGAAATCACCCGAGAGGTTGATTGTGGGCTTCCAAGGCAATCGGCCATGGTCTGCCAACCATACGGCTAAGATTAACAAAGGGTTGAGTACGCTCATCGCTGATCCCTCAAACCTTCTTAGGAAGTACTGCATTGCGAGCATGCTGTTGAGGGTCAAACTCGACACAGATGGATCGGAAGTTCTCATTTCATACCGCCATAATCACCGTGGTGGTGGTAATTGGATGACGCAAGGCCGCATATCAATCAGCGATGAAGGTGAGGCGCGTATGATTTCGAGCAACAGGAACCCAGGGTTTTGTGATCTCATGACGATACATGGGGTGAGAAAGAAGCTTTTCGATTCGATCCAACCCCCAGGACTGGAATCAGTCTTCGACTTGACGAACCAGACCACGAATCTCAACCTTAAAAGCCTAGCTGGCGTGAACCGGTTGTTACGTCGCGAAATCATGCTGGAAGTCGGCGACTATGACTCAATCTTCAACTCAACAACTTCGACGCGGAAATACAACTTTGCTACCGAGCTGGAGAGGTTCGAAGCCATCCAACTACACGGCCACCCACGCTACTTTCATCTGTACTTCGACCTATCGGAACAATTTACCCTCGAGGATATTCGATTCGATGCACTGCCATTTATATCTTCGCTGAGTTGGTTAAACCACGACGTCCACTTGAAGATCGAGGTCCGCCATCCGATCGATTCCGAGACACCAAACCGGACGGTCACGTTGCTCTTGAGAGAACTACAGGTTAGCGTTTTCTGCTTCCTATACAACCTCCTGGAGACCTATCCCAAGAACATCTACCTTCCGTGCCCTAACATCTGGACGAACGGGCTTGGTAAAGTGAAAGAAGTGACATGGCAAGATGAGCTCGGGTTGGAACCTCTGGATACTTCATACCTGGACAACAGTCACGGTGTGATTCAGCGGTTTAGTGGCGGAGTTGCGAATGACTGGGCTTCGAGAGAGATAAGTCGTATCCTTCCTGGTATTCAAGACACACTGTCCGAGTTCCTCGGGGAGGAATATGGGTGGTTGTAGAGGTACGATCTGACCATATCATCAGGATAACTCGCTGATACATTCTAGCTTTTTCGAATACGAATTCGAGCTCTCAACTGCATTTTTGAAGCTCTCGTATCAAGGGATTTCATACCTTCGCATCAAGGGGATGAATTGGGATACAGTGGAAGTCCAGTAATGGCCTTTGTCCGCTCGAATCCTCTTGTCCACTCATCAGTCTATCGCATGGTTTTATCGTTTTGCTTTCTATTTTCACATTACCTAGCAACTGATCCTCCGATTATGGAATGGAAGTTACTGCACACAAAATCATTTGAGTTCATTACTTCTTTATTAGCGAAAGAGAAGGCATTATGGGACGCAGGGATGTTCACAGCTCGATAGCACAAGCTACATAGCTGCAAATGCATACAAAAGCAAGCCTCTTAGCCCGTGAACCGTATGCATATGACTGAGCCAAGGTACAGAGGTTGTCGCATGTGTTTGCAGGTGTAAGGCGCTATCCATGAATGCGATGTTGAATTTCTACATGTTTCGGAAGAGGCGGTCATCGGCCGCACTCTAGATCGTTTGCACGACGAAGCTGTCACTAACAGAACTTAAGGTGGCGCATTGCACGCGCAGATGACACGTACTCACAAAGATCGCGATTTCGCCGTCTCTAGAGAATAGGCAAGTAGCATTGTCATTATGGACGTGCGACGCGACGTAGGATGCTCATGGGCTGCGCGCGGAGAAGGAGTGTACGCGACAACCAATCGCAGCACAGCAGACAAGTGATGACGCGTTACGTCATCGTGTCATTAGTCGAAGTCGCGCCTTCGGCCTTTCCAACGACACCAACAACACAACAGCTCAGCGCTCAGTCGTAGCACCGCGCGAAGGCATTTCGCTTTCCGCACTTCAAAGGCGAGCACACAAATGTGGTATCTTTATTGCACTCCTATCATCGGTTCTTTGCGCTGACAACGCCAATACAACTCTCCGAGCTTCTAGCCGCATACTGAAGTCGCGCCTCCGGAAAGCAGCTCGCTAGCTATCGCCGCGCACACGGAAACGAACGAACCCGTAAGCCATATCTCGTCTACTCAGCTGCCGCCCTCACGAACAAACGCTCGATATCGGGAAGCATGTCCATTGGGTTCTCGCTCGCATCCAATGCCTGGTCCTCGACAAACTCGCCATCCCTATCAACGTATGGCTGGGGGTCAAGTTCCCAATTCCGGTTCTTGCAGAATCTAGCCAGATGAACGTTGCAGAAAACAATCGACTTCAGTTCTCTGATAAGGAAGCGCTGAGTGCTGTCACAGGAGGCGTCCTCATTCGGATCCTTGAACATGCGTACGATTGCAACCTGGAGAAATGGCTTTGCCGCTACGATATCGTCCACTGCACTGACAAGTTGTCGGTCGCAACACCTCATATGGCGCTGCAGACCCCGCGCCTCGAGGCGGAACCGGATATAATGGGGCAGGACGAATGTGATCTTGTTGAGTCTGTAAGCGCCCGCCAGCATCCAAGCCAGACTACGCCACGAGTCTTCAAAGTCTAGTCGCGGGAAGCGCTTACGGAGTTTCCCTTTGGTCCACGGATATGGGAAAGGCATGAGGTCGTATACCTCGTGTGTGCGAAGCCAGGTGTGTGGGTTCCAGTGTGAGGCCATGCAACCGCGGTCTCCCGAGCGGCAAGGGATAGCCATGGTCATGGGTTTCATGAATCCCAGATTCCTCGACCCAATCTTCGTCGCGAACGCATACGCTACCATATGGCCGTTGAGACCCGAGAAGCGGAACTCATTGTTGCCGTAAAAGACCTCGGTGGCTTCAGCGCATACTTGCTTGCATGTACGTAGCAAGCCGAGGTTGCGTGCGCCGCGTCTTCCGAACATTTTTCGAAGTCTAGACCCGTTGCGTACTCTTCGGTAATACTCGGTATCCATGTCTCCGGTCTCTGGCCACAGCTCGATCGGCTCGTCGAATTCAAGGGCATGCCCGTAGATCATCAGACGGATTTCGAGAGGCATATCGAGGAAGCCGACGTGTTGAGGCTTGTTCTACAGACTTGTAAGTATACCATTATGTGTCCAGATCCATAGGGTACTTACCACAGGCTTCTGGAACATACGTTCACCGTAGATGTGAGGATATCCATTGTATGGACGGAGGTCGTCATACGAGTGAACGAGAAACGCACCCCTAGCGGTCAGCGTCTTCATCTTCTCAGCGTGCGCTGCTTGCGCCTCTTGTTCTCGCTTCACTTTCGCGTCCTCCTTTTTTCTCATCTTCTCAGCGCGCGCTACTTGCGCCCCCTGCTCGCGCTTCACTCGAGCTTCTTCTTTCTTGATCTTCTTCTCTCGCACCGCTTCCGCCTGCTCAGGAGCCTTGTGCATGGTCTCGGCTTTCTGTTGCGGCTCACTCGAACCTGCTTGGGCCTCTTCCCGAGCTTTTCGCGCTCGCGATCTAGCCCATCCACTCTTCTTCTTGCGCTCGATGCCCTCGGGCAACACGTTACCTGGAGCAGTAGACATGTCTCGGGTGTTTTGCTAACGTGTAGAAGTTTTCGGGTTGGTTGACTGGTTCGTTGAGATCTTGACCAGGGCCCGGAAGCGTGCGGTCATATATAGGGGTGCAGTACAATCACGCCAAGTCTGTGCATCACGCATTACGCTCCTACTCGAAAGCTCTGCCTATAATGGTCGAACTACGCTCGCCACTGCAGGCCAGAGAACCTTCGGCTATTTCACTCAGAGCTCAAAGTAATGGTAGTTAACCCCCATACCGAGCATGTTGATTGCTAGGACCAAGCCCATCGATGCCTAAATGCCTGGGTACTCCAATGACGCCCATGTATATTCAGCAAGCCCAGACCAGTAGTTTTGCTGGGAAATGATATGTCCGGAGGTCCATTCGGTGGTACCTTGGGCCTGTCCCAAACTATTGTCGCTTGCCAAAAGCGCTTCCGCTACGATCCCAACATCTGCAGCATGCACCATGTCATCACAAGGGAACAGCAAAAGAAACGGAAAAGTTTGAACAATGAACGTTGTATTTCAATAGCTATTCAAGTATCCTCAGTTCCCTCCTGACTCTCCGCCCTGACTTCCATTAGTAGTACAGTTAACCTGACTCTCAATCCCGTCAATGTTCAAGCAAGTATACTGGTTCGTTCCACTCGGGCTCGTAACATTAACATTCTCGATGTTGATGTTCGAGCAAACCGCCGGGCTGGAGCAGACCAAATACCCGACAAGCGGGTCGTACTTCTTGCTAGTCGTGCCGTGGAAGTTCTTGACTGTGATGTCGGAGATGGTGAGGTTGGAGGGGAACTATTATCACGTTAGCTTTCGAACAGGACTTGGTTGGTGGGAAGTAAGGGCGTACCTGGTTGCAAAGAGTCAAGTTCTTCTGACCGTAGCATTGAGTAATCTCAATCGCGTAGTCGACGTTGGAAATAGTCATGCCGTCATACGTAATGTTCTTAACGGCACCACCGCCACCTCCGCCCTGCAGATCGCCGGAGAGAGCAGAAGAAGCACCAGGCCAGACCTTGATACGCGCACCGTCCGAAGCATTCGACATGCTGATGTTGTACACGTAGACGTTCTCGACGATATCAACTTCGCCGGGGTACTGGCCCAGAGAACCGACACTAATACCGTGGCTGCCGTTACAGATGAGGTTCTGAACAACGATGTTGGTGCTGTTGGGCTTGAACGAAACACAATCGTCGCCGTTGTCGATATGCGAGTTCTGAATCACGATGTTATCAGAACGGTACGTGTCCCAGCCATCCGTGTTCTTAGCAGGGTTCTTGCTCTTGCTACCACCGAAGATGTCGATGTTGTCGAAGACCACGTCGGTCGAGTTGGCGACGAATGTGTACCATTGCGGGCTGTATCTGAACTTCAAATCGGAGATGGTGGCGCCTTCCGCGCCGATGACACCGAAGAGGATGGGGCGCAGGATGTAGATGTCCTCGGCGTAGAGGTCATACCAGGCTTGACCATTTCCGTCAAGGGTGCCGCCACCGTAGACGTTGACGTCTTTGCCGCCGAGCTGGAAGAAGGTGGTGGCGTTTTGGTAGATTTGCTTGAACGAGTTTGCTTGCCAGTAGTCGGTGTCGTTTGTGAATTGGATGGAGCCTTGGATGTCTACTCATTGTTAGAATTGAGATGTCGTGCAATGTTGAAAGGTTACTCACCCAGATCAATGCTGTTGAGGAATGTGAGATCCAGCGCAGTTCCGATCGTGAACTTCTGGTCCTTCGGGAAAACGACATGACCGCCATTATTGCACTGCTTGATCGCCTTCAGAATGTTGGAGGAATCATCTTTGCCATTTCCGAGAGCCTTGACGCTGCAGGTCTTGTTTCGTGGCGGCGACGCTGGGCATGCTTTCTTCGGGTGATAAGGATACGCCGGGTGGTGTGGCCTCTTCGACGCGACAACCTTGACGCTTCGCTCATCGAGGGGCGTCGATAGTACTGCTGATGCTTGCAGCAAAGCGCACGTGAAAATTTCGGTGACGCGCATATTGGCAGACGTTTATGCCGATGTTCTTGATTGACAAGCTGGGGTTCAACGTCTGTACCCCGAGAAACATCGCGACCCCGACCACCTAATATACCCCCATCGCATCACCCCCAGCCGTCCGAGCCGCGGCCTTGGCCCTGGAACCTCCTCAAGATACCCGCTCCCGTAAAATTGGATGGCGCGGAGGAACTCTTCGATCAACCCCTTCATCCTGGGGTCCCCTCACGGCCACAAGTGGCTAAACGGGTCATGACTGTGGCGCTAAGCCAAGATCAGCGAAGCTTTCCCCACACGCCTGGGCGCTTGGCCAGCGCCATTGGTGGAGTTTCTGCGACCCCAGATTTCCGGTGCGTGCTCGCCCCACGACATATTCGCAAAAGACGGTCTACGGCTTCTACGCGTCAACGGCTGTGTTCTGGGGTGAGTACACTGAACGTGGCGGGCGAAGATTTTGCCGCGGAACGGCCGGCGTGGTTAAGCAAGTGGT